ATATATATGTATAAAGTAACGTATTTCTGATATATTAAAGGGTTACATCATGTTTTTAGCATGAAAACTGATGCTATTCAAAACTCTTTCCATTTTTAACATATTCAATTCTCAGAAAAATTTTATGCCATAAGGACTCTTATCCACATTCTTTACTTTAGAGAAAGGGCATACAGATTGCTTATGTAAAAAAGAGCAGTTACACAATGCCACTAATTTGACCTAGATATTATGACTTCAGAGAAAAAATTTAATACTGTGTTCCTCATCAGAACTTGTTTTACCAGGTCTGAAAGAGGATACATAATTTACCATGATAAAAAACATTTTTAGTGTATTAGTCATTGTCCTTTTATTCCCAATGACTTATCATACTAATTAAAATAATTTCTGTCTGGGGACTGAGGTAATTCACATTAACAACAAATTCTTGAAGATAAAGTAACAAAAACCAAAACTTAATATTTAAATCTTTTGGATTTATAAAAGTAGACTGCTTCTCCAGATTCCCCTGGCCAAGAGCAGAAGTAATCTTCCTGTTCCCCACTCAAATGACTGCACACAGAATTAATATTCCATCTCAGAAATATCATGACTGCCTGAAAACAAAATTCAACACCACCCCAGGATGTCAAAGCATACTCTAATTTGGAAAAGAGAGGGAGGGAGTTTGGAGTCACCTGGACATAAAAGTCCCAGCAGAAATTAACACAGGGAGACAGATATTTGTGGGGAGAAGAGATTCGTGTCTCTCCTGTGGAGTAAATGCACCCTTTTCTTTTCATCACAGTGATTTGTCCCCACTGTTTTTTAGGCAGCCAGAATCAGTATGGACTTTCATCTCTTGTAACAATGTATTTTTGAACTTACCCACTCAAAATCAATTTTCTTCAAAACATTATATATTCAGAATATGTACATTGCTTTTATACCTTAATTTCACAAACTGTTTATTCCTTTCTCTGAAAATCTTAGTATTATTTATGGGGAGGTACAAATTTTATACATATGTGTGTGAGTGTATCTTATCAAAATTATACTTACTGGGCAATACAATTGATGAAAATATGTGTCTTCCAATGTTGTCTCTTTACAAATTTCTGAAGCACAAAATATTCCCAGGAATAAAACAGTAAACCATATATTGAACTGAAAATTTTTGTAATCTGATTGTTTTGCTAGAGATAATTTATCTTTATGCTCTTCTGCATTCATTTTTATTCTGAGGAAAAATCTGTCACCCCAGAAATTTTGTTGGAGTCTTGATCAAATTGAAATGGCAACTGAATTATCCTCTGAAAAGAGTCTGAGGGAGGATCGGTGAATGTAAACAGACATTGTGTGCCTGTCCTCCCAGTCAGCCTCATATATGTGCATTCAGGACACTGCAGCATTTGCTCATCCTTGGGGAGCAATTTCCAGGGAAGATTTCTTGGCCCGATACCAAGGACAAAAGTTCAATGAATAATGAATACAAGATGTTGCCTTTTCCCTTAGAAATCCCACATTTAGAACATAAACATTTCACCTCCTCATGTGATGCTTCAAGTTTCTGCTGAACCACATTTTTTTTTAATTAACACACAGTCATATAAATTTACCAGGAATAAATTTTGTATTTGAATGACCAGTCAGGACATTTTGGCTCAAAATTTAGAGAAAAAATTTCTGGGTTTGTACTTTCTTTACAAGTGACATTTTAAAGGATGGAAAACAATTTTTTTTGCTTGGAAATGTTTATATTTAAATTAATGAGTAGAACATAGTCATAATGTATATCCATTAGAAAAAAGTAGAAAATATTAAAATGCAAAAAATAAGCAATTCAAAAATGGAATCAGAAATAATTTCTCAGATAACAACAGAGGTTGTGCCCATAGTACAAGACATGATTAATAAGTCTGGAGTAGATACAGATAAGAAAACATAGAGGAGCTTAGGAACGTGATAGAACCTCAACATAGGAAACAAATGGAATCCATAAAACAGATGAAAACAGATTTCCAGGAGATCAAAAATTCTATTGAATGTTTATGAAGAAGAATGAGCCAATGTGGGGACAGAATTTTAGATGTAGATGATGGGGTTGCAATTAGTGACCAGGAGCAAAATTTCTTAAAAATACAAAGGGACCACAAGAAATCAATCCAACAGCTGCTAGACGATGCAAAGAATAGCATAAGAATGATCAGAGTCAATGAAGAAACAGGAGAGACAGCAAAAACATAAAAAACATTCTCAGAGAAGTAATGGTAGAAAACTTCCTAAGCAGAGGAAAATAACTTAACATACTAAAAAGTGAGGCATACAGGCCATGATAAAAAAATAAAAAATAAAATCTACAACTAGCCATACAATAGTTAAGATTTTAGAAATCCAACAGAATTAAATTGTACAAGCAGTTAAACATAAGAAACATACCAGATACAAAGAAGAACCCATTGGAATCACAGCAGACTTCTCAACACAAAATCTCAAGACAAGAAGAGCTTGCAGTGTCCTATTTCAAGCCCTAAAGGAAAACAACTTCCAACCCAGATTGATGTACCCTGCAAAACTGTCTTTTAAAATTGATGGAGAAATAAGATACTTTCATGACAAAGAATACCTTAGGAACTTCATGAATACTGAACAAGCACTGACAAAAATTTTAAACCATATCCTAGGAAAAGACAATGAGTATCACAACCCCAGGAAACCCAGACAGGCTTCTTTTCCTTTCTCCTTTTGTCTTCAGGTTTATAATGTGCTTTGAAAATAAATTAATAAGTATCACATTTACCTCATGTGTTATACTTTTAAAATAAACCTGCTGCAAAGGAAAGAATTGATAATGAATTTACCATATGTGGCCGTCTACAAGCTTAGATCAAGAAGATGGATAAAAATCTCCTTATTTTTCTCTCCTTGCCTATCGGCTTCTCTAGCTCTTTCTGTTGTGAGTTTTTGCAGTGACTCAGCCTCCAGTGTGTCTGGCAGGGAAAGCTATAGCAAAGGGAAGATGCTGCTGGGCTTACTGTAGGCAGGAGGATCTGTGCTGGGGCAGGCAGTGGAGCAAATGAAGTGAGGCAGCCTCCTCTCCACGCTGCTGGTGGTCTGCACCTTCACACTGCCTGTTCTGCCTCACGTTGTCCATCTGGTCCACTTGCTGGTCAGAGTGAAAATTCCATGATACATTTTCTCCCCAGTTCCATTGCTTGGGCATGCTGTAGCATTTGGGAAAAATCCTATTGAGTTCCTAGAGAATGCATATGAGAAGTGTGGGCTGGTATCACATTTTACTGTGGTGGACAACACATTTCCTTACCTTCTAGGGAGAGATGCTGCTGCATTTATTTTTTTAATAATAAAATGAAGACCTGACTGCAGAAGCTGGCTACAGTCATCTGTCAACACCTGGGTTTGGGAAGGGAGTCACATATGATGTGTCAAAACACTTTTCTTGGAGCAGAAGAAAATACTAAATAGTGCCCTTAACATAGCCCATGTTAAACAATAGCTTTCTATAATTGAAAGAGAAACACAAGGATGCTTTCAAAGTTGGGGAGAACATGGAGAAAAAAACTGTCTGAAGCTCTTTCTGAGTTCATAATTTTAACAGCTAACCACTGTTTACATGGAAAAAAGACCAGACATCAACTCAGTGAGTAGGTGGCACAGCTGTGTGCAGATCTGGATGGAGGTTCTAGCCATGCAGCCGGACTGCTGCCAGGTTGGCTGCCTCTGGCCACTTTCAGAAGCAGAGTTGCAGCTCAGTGAGAGATCAAGAATGTTTTCTATAAGGCAATTCAGAAGCATAGGCAATCACAGAACAAAAATCAGTCTGTGGCAAGGACCTGCCTCCTCTAATCTGTGACCAGCTTAAGGATCTAAATTTATTTGGTCACCGCATAAAAGAAACAATGAGGCTTGTACCTCCTATAATGACCATGATGAGAATGACCAAAATTCCACAGAGATTTTAGCGATTCCTGGATAGAATGTCTGGACTTTAGTTCTGATCACTACTTATATGATAAGCCAGCATCAGGAGAGACATTTGCCTATATGCCATTGGTGCTAGGTGTCATCATAATGGGAGAAATTTTGTTGATGTTGAAGTTAAGACAATTTGGTGCACTCTGTTTTGTTCTTGTGTATTTGATCTCAGTGATGGATATTTTCCAGCTGTGAATTATAAAACCTTGATCCATAGCCCTGAAAAACACAGATATCCAGTACTAAGAGAGGTGAAAATGAAAATTGCCAATGGGAACTAACATGACATCCGTGTAAGCAGCAAATGCATCTATAGAGAATGAAGTCTGCGAAGCAGCACTCACAGTATTTTGATTTATAAATTCTAAAAGCCAGTTTAATGAACAGATTAATATTTTATTAATTGACCTATCAAATCTAGTGGTATTTGAAACATATTGAACTTTTGATACTTTGGTGTGCTTTAAGGAAGCCAAGTTTATTGTTAAAAGAATTGTTCAACTCTTTTTGTGGTTTCTCTTGTACTGCAAAAATTTTTAATACAATGAGTTCCCAGTTGTTGATTCTTTGTGTAACTTCTCATGCTCCTGAGGATTTGTTCAAAAAGTCTTTTGCTATGCCAATGTCTTTGAGAGTTCTACCTAATTTATCTTCAAGTAAGTTTACTGTTTCTATTTTGATATTTAGATATTTAATTCACCTGGATTTTAGTTTAGCACATGATGAATGATAAGGATATAGTTTTAATCTCTGGCAAGTTGAAAGCCACTTTTCACAACACTGTGTATTAAAGAAGCTATCTTTCCTCCAGTGAGGATGGTTGGCTCCTTTGTCAAAGATGAAGTAGCTCAGTATGTCTGCAGTTGTTTCTGCAACTTCTAATATATTCCACTGATTCTCATTTCTGTTTCTTTGTCAGTACCATGCTGTTTTTATCACAGTAGCTTTGTAGTATAGTTTCAAGTTGGGAATTATGGTACCCCCTCTGCCATGTCTCTGTTGCCTAGAATGGCTTTTGCTCTTCTAGGTCTCTTCAGGTTCCAAATGAATTTTTGTGTTGTTTTCTCAAATTCTGTGAGATATACTGTTGGGATTTCAATAGGAATTTCACTGAATCCATATAGCAGTTTTTTTTTTAATAGTGGCACAGTTTTTTTTAATTGGGTTTATTGATACATTTTAGGTATACAGTACAGTTACATTCATTATTGGGATCTTGTACCTTTACATGAGAGGTCTTGGTTCTCATTAGTTTTGGGACTATGGTCATGTTCATTATGTTGATTCTTCCTACCCAGGAGCAAGGGATGTCTCTTCATTTTGTTGTATCCTCTTCTATCACTTTGTTCAGATTGCTGTATTTTTCAGTGTAGAGGTCTTTTGTCTCCTTCTTTAGGTTGATTCTTAAATATTTCACTTTTTTCGATGTTATTGTGAAAGGAATTATTTTCCTAATTTCTCTCTCAGTAAGACTGTTAATTGTGTATAAGAAGGCTATTGATTTTTGAGTGTTAACTTTGTGTTCAGCTACTCTACTGAATCTGTCAATTAAGTGTAGAACTCTGTTGGCAGAGTTTTTTTTTTTTGAGGGGGGGTTTTCTGAGTATCATATCAACAACAAATAGTGACGACGGTGTCACTTCTTTCTGTCCTATCTTCATTGCTTTTATTTCTTATTCTTGTCTAATTGCTATGGCTAAGTTTTCTAGGACAATATTGAACAGAGTGGTGATAGTGGGAATCCTTGTTTCTTTCCTGATTTTAATGTGAAGCTTTTCAATTTTTCAACATTTAGTATGATATTGACTGTTGGTTTTTCATAAATAGCCTTTATCAAGTTGAGATAATGACCATCTATTCCTATTTTTGTAGGGATTTTATCATGATGGGGTGTTGAATTTTTTGAATGCTTTTTCTGCATCTATTGAGATGAGGGGTCATTCTCAAAGTAGACCACATTCTCTCTCAGAGAACATGTCTAAGTAAGTGCAAAGGAATTGAAGGGAATCCCTGGATATTATCAGATCATAGTGTGATGCAACTGGAGATCAATACCAAAGGAAACCTAAAGAATTTCACAAGCACATGAAAATTTAACAAGATCCTTCTGAATAACCAAAGGGCCACAGAGGATATTAAAGAAGAAATCAGACAGTTCCTACAATTCAATGATAATGACAATGCAACATGTATGGATCTGTGGGACACAATGATGGCTGTCTTATGAGGGAAATTCATAGCAGTGAATAATTGTAGTAAGAAAACAGAGCAAGCATAATTAAACTACCTGATGTTGCACCTCAAGCTTCTAGAAAAAGAAGAGCAGGACAGGGCTGGGGAAATAGCTCATGGTTCTACCATTTTCTTCACAAGCACAAGGTCCTGAGTTTGATCCCCAGTACCAAAAATAAATAAATAAATAAATAAAAATTAAAATAAAAAAGAACAAGACACAGTCAAAGCTCATATAAGGGAGAAAATTATAAAGATCAGAGCAGAAACCAATGCAAGGGAGACTAAATGAATAATGCAGACAGCCAACAGACCCCAAAGTTGGTTCTTGGAAAAAATAAAGAATAAACAAACCTAACAAATCCTTATCTGATCTTATCAAAAAAAGAGAAAGAAAAGACCCAAACCCATTCAATTAGGAATGAAAAGGGTGAAATTACAATGGACCCAAGAAGTCCAGAGTATCACCAATACTTATTTTGAGAAACTTCATGCCAATAAGATGGAAAATACAGAAGAAATGAACAGATTCCTAGATTCCTATAAATTACCAAAGTTGAACTACTAAGACCTAAAAATTCTAAACAACCCAATATCAATCAATGAAACTGAAAATGCAATTAAAATTTTATCAACTAAGAAAGGCTGGGGCACAGCTCCCTAACTCCCATTCCTCAGCAGAGGAACGGTGAGTGGCACAGTCATGTGGGTACCTGCCACCACCCCCGTGTGCCTCCAGCCTCCTACCTGGTCTGCTACCTGGATTCAAACCACAGAGATATGGAGGTCATAAAGGCCATTGTTTTGAACTCCAGGCTGAATTTTGATTTAATTCACACAGTTAAAGTTAAGAGATTAATAACTACCACAAATTATTTTCTAAGTTTTGGTTGATGCTACTGTGATGCTGATTGTATTACATGGGCTAAGGTGTTGTGATTGAGTTAATCAGTTGTCCTTCCTGGTGTACTAAAAGTGAGATTGCCTAGAGTCATTGGAGACTCAAAACCTAAAGACAAGCTACAACAGGAAGTTTGAAATATTAACCCAGGAATTAAACCAAGGATAGTTCCAACAACAAAAATAGAAATGAGAAGGCATTCAAACAAGGCACAAGCACAAACAATCTGCCTGTTCATCAAAGGCAAATTCTTAGGGAAATGAGGTGGAAAAGTCAGATAATCCACCTGGACACCTTGAACTGATAGCATAAAACAGAAGAATGAGGCTCTAGAAAAATTCTTATTCTTTTTAAGTCATTTGACCTGATTCTATACACAGTATTTCTCTACTAAATTAACTGAAAAGAAATTATGTTAAATTCAGGGTTGATTGTGTCTTTCTGTTCACTTTCCTTTTACAAAACAAAAATAAAATTAAACATACTGAGACAGGAACCTGCACTACAGAGCATGGACTACGGAGATGGAGCAGGTCACAGACACTGGGATGGAGCTTCTGCCCCACTGCGGTGACACCTTAAGATGTCCAGGCATCAGCTGGAAATGCTTGGTTTGTCTGGTAAGGGATGGGACACTGCAGAATAGGTAACACCTGAACATGCTGGATGATAAAATGTGAGCCTACCAGAGTCACGGGCCTTTCTGATATCTCAGCTATTTAGTTAGGATAATAGCAAACACACAGAATTATAATAATAAGGTAAATCTAGAATTGTACTTCTGAATAAGTTTCACAGGTACAAAGGCAAATACTTTGGAAAAATTATTGTGTAAGCAAAGTATTTACACACATAATTATAATAATTAGGTAAATCTAGAATTATGCAACCAAAATGAGCTTCAGAGACACAAAGGCAAACATATTGGAGAAGCTATTCTGTAAGCAAAGTATTAAGGAGTATTGAATTGCTTTATGATTTTCTATGAATTTTGTTGTTTTTGATTTGTTTCAAAATTGATGACTTATTTCTTTGGTCAAGTCATATACATGTAAGTATAAAATATTTCCTGGTGAGATTTTTATATTCCCTCCTCTATATCATTCATAAATACATCTCTGGAAATATTTTCTCCAACAACTTAGTCAAAAATCCCTGATGGTTTGCCTCAATGCAAATGTTATTCTCTACAAAGTTATGTATTATATGTCACTTTGCAAAGAAAAAGAATGAACATCGGAAACAGTCACCTATAAAAAAAGTTAAAATGATTTTGGGTGCTCCCAGGGAGAAAGAAACTTCTCTGAGTATTATCCTTGAACTTTTGTCCTTGGAATCAGGCCAGGAAAACTTCCCTGGAAATTAGGCCCCGAGGATGACCAATGTCACGTTTCTCCCAGTGCCCATTACCTGAGCACCTGGAGTTATTAACGGGGAGGGAAGGCGCCCACTGTCCAGTTCACATACACAGTTTAGCCCTCAGTTCCTTTCAGGATAAAACCTCCTCCTAGAGTTTCTGGGAGCTGAACTGAATATAATTTGTCTCCGAATAGAAAAAATGAATGTACAAAAGCATAAAAATAAATTACATCAAGAAACAAGTCTACTAGAAGTTTTCAGCTGCTTGTTAGGTTTTGGTATTTTATTTCTGAGAATAATTTGAGCTTGACAAGATTCTGCAGAGATTACACTGGAAAAAAATTGGTTTTCAGCCACTTTGTCTCACTGTAAGTATCATTCCTAAAATGAGAGGGGATTAGGTCATACAAAATGAAACGGAAATTTTGCCAGGAAGTTGGTTTATGTGCGTGATTTAGGCCTTACCTTGAGTAATGTGTGTGATTTAGGCCTCACCCGGAGTAAAGTTAAGATTTCTGAAACTAAACGTAGAGTGCGTAGAATCAAAGTCATCAGCACATGCACATATTTTGAAAATGTACTTTTTTTTTTTTGGTACTGGGGATTGAACTCGGGTCCTTGCACTTGCAAGGCAGGCCACCAAACCACTGAGCAAAATCCCTGGCCCTGAAAATATACTTTTAAAATAAATTTGACTTTGTCTGATCAAGTTGGGAGAAGACACTGTTAGCAGAGTTGAAGTCCATACTTTCCCTGGTCCCCACAAAAAGTGGCAGAAAATTTCTTTTGGTGGAAAGACAAGGGTTTATTCACAGCTACGGGGAAGGAGATGGGTTGGGCATCTTAGTCTCTGATCTGGATCTTCCTGTGCTCAGGGGCACAGGGGCTGTGACACCCGGATTCCTCCCCATCCCTCCCTCCCCTGTCCAGATAACAGCAGACCTGACCCAGGGCAGCGCTGCCTGCTCTGCTCAGAGGCAGGAGGTGACTTCTGCAGAGCAGGACCTCGGTGTGACTGCTCTGAGAGGAGCAGAGCAAGATGAAGAGCTCTGCTCTCAGTGGGAGGATGCAGCCCACGTCTAAAATATCCTAATGTTTGAAATTCTTTTCAAATTAATTGTCAGTATTGCTATTTTAAACAATATTAATATGTGGATGTAATCGTAATATGACTCACTAAATTCCCAAAGGGAAATTTAATTTGTAATTAGTATTCCAAAGGAATGAAAAGTAAGGAAGAGTTACTGGCACGTTTTAACTGTTTTGAATTATTTACTACATATACTTTTACATGTGTGCTAAAAAAATAATAAGCAGGAACAACTGTTCATAAGGCAGTCAAAATTTTCATTGTGATCAAAATACTTTGGTGGGATCACATTGTTAATAAGGAGTAGCTCACATTTCAGATGTCACTTTCTGTGCCCTTGTTCTGAAATAAATTATTTAGTTGCACTCTGGTGACTGGAGCACATTATCGTCACATGGATTGGACTTAATGTGTTAACTAAGGGAAGTATTTACAATTTGAACAGGTTAGTTCTTGTGACATAGGCTGTAACATTTTAAAATATTAGCCAAAAAGGTCAATTTATATCCTTATCCATGTATGGCATTGGTATGTTTTAAATTCAAATCAGTAGAATCTGAAAAATTTTTAGAAATACTAAACTATATTATTAAAAATTTTATTATTCACACACTGAAATACTTTTTTGGTCACTCAGGCTAAGTATCAGATTTGATTATTCCACAGATAAGAACAGCAGGACACCATGGACAGAAGGAACTCCACCAGTGTGCCTGGCTTCATCCTCATGGGGCTGACAGACTCTGCAGAGACACAGCTGGTCCTCTCTGGCCTCTTCCTCCTGATTTACCTGATCACTGTGCTGGGGAATGCAGGGATGATACTGATCATTCGCCTGGATCCCCAGCTGCACACCCCCATGTACTTTTTTCTCACTCACCTGTCATTTCTCGACCTCAGCTACTCAAGTGTTTTCATTCCTAAAACCTTACAGAACTTACTGACTTCCACCAAGAGCATCTCCTTCCTGGGCTGCTTCACCCAGCTGTTCTTTTTTATCCTCTTGGCTGCCACTGAATGTTTCCTTCTCTCTGCCATGGCCTATGACCGCTACGTAGCTATCTGCCACCCCCTGCACTATCCAGTCATTATGTCCACAAGACTGTGTTGTGCCCTGCTTGCTGGCTCCTATATGATTGGCCTTGTGGATTCCACTGTCAATGCTGTTTGTATAAGCAGATTGCTATTCTGCAAGTCTAATGTCATCCAGCACTTCTTCTGTGACACATCCCCAATCTTAGCCCTGTCCTGCAGTGACACTTCTGAAGTTGAACTCATTTTATTCATTTGTGCTGGATCCACCCTAGTGCTGTCCCTCATCACCATATCTGGGTCCTATCTGTCCATCCTCTCCACTATCCTGAAAATTAATTCCACTGCTGGAAAGAAGAAAGCCTTCTCCACCTGTGCCTCCCATCTCCTGGGTGTCACCATCTTCTACAGCACTATGATCTTCACTTATCTAAAACCAAAGACATCCTACTCCTTGGGAAGGGATCAGGTGGCTTCTGTCTTTTACACAATAGTGATCCCCATGCTGAACCCTCTCATTTACAGTCTCAGAAACAAAGAGGTGCAAAAGGCTGTTGTTAGAATCACGCAGAAAAGAGAAGGCTGCAGACAGTTAATATCGCAGTGGTGCTAAGCATTTACACTTTTTTTAATGGCAATTTAGCCTGTTTTTGAATTAAAAAATGTGCGTTTTTTTATCTTTTTTTTATTTCCTCACGAGCTCTCCTTTCCTTCTCAAATATTATAGTGGATATTTCCAGGCACAGATGTTTTCGACATTTATATTTCATCCCTCGAGCACGAAATATGGGTTGATCTGTGAATAAATACAAGTGCTTTTAAGTGCAACTAATGCACAAATAAAGAAGATATGTTTTTCATAATGGAATTAAATCACACCATATTCATGTGTGGTCTGATTTTAGGAAATTTTATATTAGTTGTGCTTATAATATAGATAAGTACAGCAATGATTTGAGAAATGGCTTTAAAATCAAGCTTCAGGCATTTAGATTCGAGATCTGCCACCTTTTTAGTGTACAGCCCACTTTTCTCACTATTATTCTAACAGTACCATCCATTGCATAAGATATATAATAATTCCATGTATGTCTTTCAGAAGGAGGTTGTCAAACATTGTTTGCGTACTGGTGATCATCATAAGATCCCTTGCATTACTACGATATTTTGTACATAATACATTTTTGAATAAAATTTCTTCATGTTGCATGAAGTTTTGTTAATTTAATATGCTAACATAACACCTAAAAAGGAAAAGAAAACCTGGAGCCAAGAGGTCCCAATTTTGGATTAAGAATAAAGTTAAATATTGAATTAGTTCAAAGTTATAAAAAAGTAATATATCCTCACATTGAAGACAGTTTGAAAAATGACAATTACTAGAGAAAGAAAAAACAGTGTATTAATTATTGACATTTCTGTGCATGTTCTTCTATATCAGTGGTTGTGAATACATATTTACACATATAATATATTTTTGCTATAATTTCTTGTATAATATTTGCTGCTTTTTGTTTAAAGATTTATGTCTAATCTGCCTGTGTCTTGCAAGATTAACATGTTTTTACTATAGGAGTAATTTTCCAACGCTAACGGCAAGCATTTTGATATGTTTATTAGATGTGGTCTTTTCTTTCATTCATTCTTACTTGTATAAGCTAGAAAATTTATTGATTTCTGTTGGAGAACCTGTCAAGAGAACATATGACTTGTAAAATATTTAAATGGAAGACGTTTCTAAATTTTAAATAAACTATTGCTATTTGATTTTATTTATTACATAGTGCATAAAGCATTTATATCATGTTATTAAATTAGCATAATATGATCTCTTGGCCATAAGAAACCCCTAAACTATTTGCATTTGCCCCATCATTTACGTCTCCTATCACTACATAGTTTATACAATGGAAGTTGTTTCTCTGAAATAATGTGAGACCTCATGCCGTCGTTCACAGAGCCAGGTCAGTGTGCTATGGAATAGAAATACGATTATATGATTGTGCAAAGACCACAATGCAGCACAGCAAACTATAAACACCTGATTTTGCTTCCCAAAGATTAATGACTTCACAGCAACATTGCTATTATACTTTATTAAAAGAGACATCATTGAAACGTGTGTGTTGTGCAATGTTTTGTATAGTTTCTAATGGAAGACACTGTGCTTGGCATTGGGGGTTAAAGTTTCAAACGAACAAATCCAAACATAGAAACAAAAAATGAACTTGGTAGCAGAAAAAATAACATCAGATAGTGGATGATGATGGCAGGGTAATTGCATTAGGAAAGTTTTCCTAGCCTGATGAAACCTTCAAGAACAGACTCGCTCAACACAAAACAATGTCCACGGCTATCACCTGAATTTATCCTGTTTCATCCTCACCCTGTTGACTTTTGGGTTAACCGTTTCTGGCAGGTAACTCGGTGCTCAGGTTCTCCTGTCTTTGGCTCTGTTACCTTCTCCCACATCGTCAGAGGGAGTTCATCCAATATCCAGTGTGAAGCACAGGTGAGGATTTGTTTTATTAGGGAAAAACCATTGAGAAGATTGTATTCATATGAATTAAAATATTTTAATTTATTAAGTAGACATATATTATAATTTATTATATTATATATTATGATTTAATAATTATAATTTAGATAATTTATTAATTATAATTTATTAAGTAGACACATATTACATATTTCTTCTAATGAATCTTTCAGGAGCTTTACTTTTTAATCATCAAATTCATCAGCAGAATATTTTTATAACATATTTGTCTTTCCATTTTAATTTTTGTGAGGACTTGGTGAAATCTTCATTTTATTCTTGATATTATATTTGTTGTTCTCCATGCAGTAATGATCTTTTGTGAACCCCATATTATAATAATGTCTACGAAATATATGTATATACCTCTATATATAATTTTCTTTTTGGTAGTGGGAATTGAATCCATGCCATGGACAAGAGGCAGCCCTGTACCATAAAGCTACATATCCAGCCCCTTTTAAACAATCAGCAATAAAAGACCCCTTCAATAATATGAACAATTTTCCCTAATTATATTTTTTTCTCATAAATGTTATTTTTATATTTGGCATAAATTCATAGTCCAATAATATTATTTTCCTTAAGCCATTTAGTTTTAAAGAAACTAAAATTAAACTTTGCAATGTTTGTAACATTTCTTTAGAATTGCTACATTTGTCATTTCTCTTCCTGCTTAGAGTCAAGCGTCCTTCAGTGTTACCCTTCCCAGGATCTTTTGAACTGCTTAACCAATGGATTCCTAGATTCTTTATTGTTAAAAATGTGTTTATGTGTATAATCTCATATTTTTCCTATTCAGTTATTGCTTTCTATTAGACTATTTGATAGTAAACATCTGTTTCTTTGTACAGTTATTCATTTCATTTTCTTAACATTCATTCTGATTAGATTTCCATCATTTCTTTTTCAACTTAATAACTATTTCTTAATCTGCAGTGACTCCACTGATGACTCTGTTGTACGATTCCATGTTTCTAATTTTGTGTGTGTGTGTGGGCTTGTGTGTATGCATGCGTGTATATTTCAGTGTGATCTCAAACACTTTCCATAACTTCCATCTACTGAGTTTAAACTCTGACAAATCCATGCATGTTGATTATACTCTTGACTAAAACACTTATTCCAATGGCTGTGGATGCCTTTAGACAAATGCTGCCAGGAATGTGTGTATTTGAACAAGTTGATCATATAAGTTATTCTCACACATGTTTGACAGTGATGAACAGAGGAGACTTGGAGCATTAATACATCCTCTTCTGATTACAGGTTCGAGGGTTGTCACCTCTGCTCATGTGTGGCTTTAACTGTGCTTTGCACCGCAGCTGAGACTCCTCTGTGCTCACAGTGTTTTCATCATGCTTCCACACTTTGCAAAAGTGAGCAGTTTCATGGGTTGCACTTATTCTGGGAAGGGATTTGTCTTTGGAGTTTAGATTGTGTGAATGAATATGAATTCAGATGGGAAAGGCTCAATGAAATTATGTTTGTGTAGATTAAATGGATTTGAAAACAAGGGTAGAGGAAGTTTTACTGTAGATTTGTACAATTTATGCGTTAATGGAACCTCTCTTATCCATTGCTATTACTTGGAGAATCTTTTCTATGTATAACACCACATTTATCAGTGCAATATTCACTTCTGAATCTTGAAAATGCGGTGGTTCCTCAACTCAGACCTTTTCCAACTGATCCTATCCACTCTGTTCTGCTGCTGCATTGTTTCTTCGTTCAGTCCTTCTTTTATTTGTACTTTCCTGTTTCTTCCATCTTTCCTTACCCTCTCTCTCCCTCTTGTCCCTGTTTCTCACTACCTTCCTTCCTTCTTCCTTCCTTACTTTTTAAAAAATATTTTTGGCACTGTATCCTAATAATCCAAGCCAAAATGTATAATGTCCTACTCACTGTCATGGTTACTAGGTCCAGTGGGAATCATTCCTACAATTTATTTTGTACACATTAATATTCTGTCTTATTTCCTTCGCTGAGTTAATGAAGATCTTCCATACTAAAGTAAAAATATCAGGCAATTCTTTCACTTCTTTATGTAACATAAATTTTAAAAATTGAGCTCTGTTGCATGGCATCTTAACTTATAATTTGGATATCATTCTATAGAGATACATGGCATTGAGCCAAGTGTTTAAAATTTTTATATATGGTTTTCTCATCTGGGATACAATGAAAAGGTACAACAATTTCATAGAGATATAACCACAGAATGTGCAGGCATTAATAAAGTTGTTCCATAGTGAATAACCTAAATAGATATGCACATTATTACTGCTGCAAAGTAGGAGAGTTTCCTCACTGTCTTAGGATTTCTGGCTAGTTGTGAAATGTTAAGACAAAGACAATCTAACCATGATGAGTATGTAAATTTATTCCATTCACTATTCCATGACAACAGGCTAGAAAATGTCAAGGCTAAAGCGAGCACCCCTCACAACTCATCTCAGAGCATGTTTAATTGGCGCATATAAATATTGATCATTTTAATCACCCTAGCCCTCCAGGACTCCTTTTTTTTCCCCAGTACCATGGACAGAACTTAGTATCCCGAATTTAGGAACAGATGTGGCACCACTGTGACAAATCCCCAGCCCTGTACTTTCCTTTCTTGTCTTTCCCTGAGCCCCGTCTCATCATAAAAGAACAAAATAAATCTTTTTTATTATGTAATGTTCTCTCTCCCTCCCTCCCTGCCCTCCCCTCCTGTCTGTTTGACACAGGGTCTCACTACAAGTTTCCTTTAGGCCACGGACTTACTCTGTAGGCCACTGGAGATGACCCTCCTACCTCAGTGCTTAGATTACAGACTGATGTCACCATGGCTACCTCTAAGTTTTCTTCCTCTTTTGTTTTTTGACAGGGAGAGCATTTGACAACAAGTCCTGCTATGTCGTCCAGGATGACCTTAAACCTCAGTTATCCACCTTCCTCAGTTTCCCATTTGCAGTGATGACAGAAATGCTCCACTATGCCCTGCCTTCCTTCCTTCATTATTATTATTTTTTTTGCTCTTAACATTATTTACATGTTGTGTTTCTCATGCATTCAAAGGTAATTGTCCA